TTGAGTTTATCTCATCGTTAATAAACTATTAGAAGATTCTTTGCTTAAAGATAGAAAAATATGTAATTACTTATACATGTAAATCTTAGAAATAGCAATTTGACGCATCATGATGGTTTTTGTGATTCCAGTTCCAGTAAAGTGAAAAGAGGGGTACCAAGGGGTGTCAAAAGCCTGAAAACATAACCATGTTTCAAAAACCATAACATATTGACATGAAATAAATCTATATATTCATGTGCTTCTACAACCAAGAGGTATAACAAAAATTAGTAGAGATGATATATATAATACAAGTTATCAATCATAATCAATTTGAACATTTTCAGAGTTGCAAAACTCATCATCACCAATCTTTCTAGGTGTTGCTGAAGGTGCACTGAACATTGGGGAACAACCTTCAGTTGGACCTACATAACTGGTAATGTTTTTCTCAAGTTGTGTTCTTAATAAAATTTTCTCAACTTCAAATGAAATATTTTTAGTCCTTATAGGAATACATGGTAATTAGTCAAAAAAATAACTGTATTTCAATAATATAAGAACTCAAAATCATATTCCTTGCCTTTTCACATACTATAAAATTAATTAAAAAATTTACATACCGAAACAAAGTCATTGTTGACCATTGTTGACCGTACAAATTACAAGTCTCTATAGAATATAACGAATTAGTCTAATGATTACAAGTCCTTCCAAGTAGAAAAGCACTTAACTTTGTGGCTGTTCAAAAAAAAAAAAAAAGCACTTAACTTTTATGAGAATTATACTTCATTCAAATTCGATATTTCACTATAAAAAAGAAACATAATCTGCTAAAAAAAATTATGATGTATTAAAATTTTACATACATACGAATTGAATGATGAATCCACAAAATAACATACATAAAACATAAAAATTAGAATCTGGGAAGCCTTATGAGTTGTATCTACTCATTTAGGTTCTAACTATTTATAAAATTAACCTAAATTCAAAAATGGGCTTACAATTCTGCTGTGATTGGAGAACTTATAAGGACTAAAGTGCAAGCTAAAATCGATTATTTCAACACTGTCACAATTGGCTTCAGCTTTTGGTTTGACACCATCTAAATCACCTTTGGGATTGTCCTTCAAAATAAAACTTTCAATAATTTGTAGATTGACATCTGATTGAAATTTTCCTTCATCTTTATCAGTAGAAGCTTGGAACTTCTGGTCGATATGGTTGCCAACCATAAAGTGCAGTACAAATAAGTACTAAAAATGACACCCTTGGGTTCTTGTTCTTCTTGGTTATGCGATTTATGCTCTATAATCGATTTCTGGCACAAAGAAAGGTGAATTGCTAATCCAACAAATATCACACAAAAAACCCAAAGTTGGTGTTATATAGGGGAAATTGAGTGTGAACATGGGTGATTGTGTGATCCATGAATAGTCACATGTGACAGCGGTTTAGGGTTAAGCAAGAATTGCAATGTAGGTAAGAAGAATGAGGAACCTGGGAAAGAGGTGAAGCGGAGATGAGCGTGGAGGTGGAAGATAACTGTCAAAAACCTGTAAATGAGGACTAAGATCCCGTTTGATAGTTTCTGTCCGGGAAAGTGCTGTTTGGGAAAATGATGTATGGGAACGTTTTCTAACATGGAAAGAAACCATGTTTTTTGATTGTACATCTGATTGACTGTGCTGAATGATGAAAAATGACAATATTACCCTGTTGTTCTATACTGTGATGGATGAAGTTGCTGAATAATTATAAAAACATACAAATTATCATACAATATCAAAATTACACAATAATCATTTAAAATTCCAAATAGAATGTCTATTAAGTTGTTTTTAGTTTATTGTTTTTCAAGTTGATGTTACTTTGTTATTCTTTCTAGCCATTTTTTTATAACTCAACTTGTGATTCTTGACCCGGTTTATGTACGTTAGTGGCGGGATGAATGAAATTTTTTAAAATATATTAGGATGATGGTGGTGTTGTCAAAAAAAAAAAAAAAGAATTAATTCAATAAAAATGAATTATATAAATTAACTAAAAGAAATTAATAATCCAATAAAGTAATATTTATTAATATATAAATATTATATATTTATAAATAATATTTATTAATATAAAATAATCCAATAAAAAGAATTAATCCATAAAAAGGAAATAAAAAAATTATTTAAAATAAATTAATAATCGAATAAAATAATATCATTATTAATATATAATAATCCAATAAAAAAAAATTAAAAAATTTATTTAAAAGAAATTAATAATCCAAGAAAGAAAGAGGCGGGGTTTGGGACACAATTGTCTTTTCAGTCTATTCAGCCAGAAAGATATAGTTTTGGAACTTTATGGGAAAGACATATTTTACCGGGAAATACCTATTTTTTTGTGCATATCAAACAGTATTTCCGGTCTAAAAATGCTTTTATGACAAAAGTGTTTATTGATGGTGGTAAAAAAAGTTTTTAAAAAAGACAAAATTGTAAAAATGATTCCTATAGTATGTCGGAAATTGTTATTTTGGTCTAAAAAAATTTGGACTATCACCAGTGGTCCAAAACATTGATTTTGTTGTGATTTTGGTCAAATTTATTTTGAATTTTTTTTTAAATGACGATTTTTCTGTTTGTATTTTCTTTTTTCAAATTTTTATTGAAAAAAAAAATACTCACCCCACCTCCCCCTCCATCTCTCTCGTACAAACACCCATACATGGTTTGTGACCCCATCTGCAAAAAAACGAAACCATATGTTCTTCACCATTTTCTTTTTACATTTTTTGCTCATTTAGCTTCAAACATAAAATTAGTTCCACCCAAAACAAGACATCGATCTCTCATTCCTACACGATACCTTGATCGAATCCAAGAAGCTATGGCAGAAGATGATTAGTATGTGAATGTGTGTATGTCTATGGCAGAAGATCGGATCCGGATAGAGAGGAAAACGTGAATGGTTTTCGACCTGCACCAATAAAAAGAGAGCAACTGATTTGGGTCTTCCATCACAGGAATGAATTTAAATTCCTAGAATATGAAATCAATTTCGAATTTGAAATCATTTTTGAGGTTGAAATCGAACCCTAATCTGAAGCAAACAGCCACGCCTCTGGAAAGTTTAAGGAAACGCCCATTAATTTAGGAACTAAATCAAGAACAAAATAAGCTTTTATGAACATCAATTATAAAGAGAAAGAAACCCATTTAGACAGAAGAGTGTGGCGTTAGTACCGGAACCCATATCAGAAGTAATGGACGACGACCACCACCACCAGATCAGATAGAAGCGGAAGGGGAGGAGACACTAGCAACATCACTAGCGGCGGCGATCTTGGTCACCGGAGCACATCCCCGACCAAGAAACTCATGTAAAATAGTGAAAATGATGCATACATGATCATTAATAGAAGACATCTTCAATCCCAGCTCAATAGTGAAGCTGCTTTGAACATCTTCTTTATGCGCTTCAAAATCAAGAAACTATGTGAGCTAAAGAGAAACCCATACGTTATTTTTTAACCTGCAAATATAATATATAATCTACTCCTAAACAAACATCTAGATCCACCTATGTCCACTACGAAACTTGAACCCTCGACCTCAAGGAGAGATGACGTCACCTAATATCACTGGGTTAGAAGTCCTTTGGTAGAAACCCATACGTATGTGTGTTGATTACACATGTATATATAAATATATATTATTTGGATACATGTGTATGTATATCGTAACCAAGGATTTATAGGAACTAGAGAGAGGAAATAGAAAGGGTTTGAATTAAGATCCAACGAAGTGTCAACTAAGCTTGTATATTCCATGGAAACATTCTTAAAAGAATGCAATATATATATAGAGAGAGATGGTTTGTATTTTTTTCTATAATAATGCAGTAAATAGAAAGAAACTGAAAAAAATAAATAAAGAGAAAAAAAAGGTCATTTTAACCATTTTCAAGTTTGAAACGGATTAAATTCGCAACAAAATCAAAGTTTTGAACCAGTGGTGTAAGTCCAAAACTTTTTGGACTAAAGGGATAATTTTTGATATACTACATGGGCCGATTTTACAGTTTTGTCTTTAAATAAAGTGTTTGAATTATATTTTATGCTGAAAAAGTTAATAAATCAATAAATTAAAAAGTATTTTGCTTAAAAACTTTTTTTTAAGTTATTTTGGTTAAAAAGCTAAAATTAGTTTAAAAAAGCTAGGTTTAAGATGCTTTTTAAAATATATTTTTTTGAAGCTAAATGGAAATATTATTATGAAAAATGTTTTTAAGTTTAACAAACATTTTTTTTGATTTATTGGTTTTTCAAAAAAATCAATAAGTTATTTTTTTTGAAGTTATGTAATTCTTGTGACGACATACCGAGCTTAATAAGATATATAATTAATAGTGTAGTTTGCATAAAAGATGAGAATAATTGAATAATCGTATCAGATCAAATGACATAAATGATTTATGATGTATCTCATAAAAACTGGACCTGTTTAAAGTTTAATTTTTCTTCTGAACCGGGTTAACCGAACAATATATCGGAGCAGGTTTTTTGGCCCATTACCTGCCTGACCCGACCCGGTCGGTTCTCAAGCTTCTAAAAGAACGTCACCGATGATACTAAAATACGCGGACTGCCATCGGTTTCATCTTCCGGCCACCGGGACTACAATTTAATAGGTTTCCGGCGTTGTCCTTAGCCTTCGATTAACCAGCAAATGCAAATTACGCCTAAAATCGATCTTGCCGCCTTCGTTGAACTAAGTTCAGTATGCAATTATGACGTTCTATCATTCAACCCTACAAAATCTGCGAAACAGCAAATTCTTCGATTTGGGGTTTTATTAATTTGATTCTTATTTCTCAAGTTCTTCCTTTATAGTATTCATTGCTTCTATGTTCTTCGACTTAGGTTTTAGAGCAATTCAACTGAATATATGGTTGATTGGTTGTCTTGCTGTCTATATAGTTTCTGATTTATACATATAGCTTGCTATAAGGGTTTTAAGGTGATGGAGACTGTACCTTTAAGGCACCCATATCAGACTATCCCTTCATCATCGCAACCCTTGGCACACCAAAAACTTTCTCAACATCAACAACCTGAGAAATCCCAGAAACAATTCCCATCATACCTTGATGCATATGATTTATCGCCAAGAGCAAGAGCTATTTGCGAAATACTCGCTAGGGTTTTTCCGGCTGAGGTTGAAACCGCATTATCAGTGACAGGAATGAACCTCGAGCCTGAAGTTGTACAAGAAGTGATCAAGTTCTCGTATGGATGCCCTGAAGCTACCATGATATTTTTCAAATGGGTGGGTTTGAAGCAAAAGCATTCGCCTTTAACGTGGAATTTGATTGTGGATTTGCTTGGGAAGAATCAGATGTTTGAGCGGATGTGGGAAGCGATTAGGTCAATGACGCAAGAGGGTGTTGTATCCATAACCACATTTGTTTCAGCTTTCAGGAGCTACTGTGAGGTTGGAAGGTTTAATGAAGCTATAAAGGCGTTTGATGCGATGGAAAAGTATGGAATTCAACCTGATGTTGTGGCTCTCAACTCTCTTTTGAGTGCTATATGTCGTGAACATTTCCAAACAGAAATAGCAGCAGAGTTTTTCGAAAAAATCAAGACTAAAATCCCTCCAGATGCAGATTCTTTTGCGATTCTGTTAGAAGGGTGGGAGAAAGAAGGAAATGTGGCGAAGGCAAAAACGATGTTTGCAGAGATGGTGATTCGTGTTGGCTGGAGCCCAGAAAACATGTCAGCTTATGTTGCTTTTTTGAACACTCTAATTCAAGGTTCACAAGCTGATGAAGCTCTAAAGTTTCTTCATGTAATGAAGGGGAAGAACTGCTTACCAGGTTTGAAATTCTTCTCAAATGCTCTTGATGTTCTTAATAACCAGAACGATTCTGCTCATGCTTTATCTCTATGGGAAATCATGACAACGAATGGGTTAATCCCAAATTTGGTCATGTATAATTCCATAATCGCTTTGCTTTGCAACAAAGATGAAATCAATAACGCCTACCAACTGCTCGATGAAATGCCTTTCAATGGAGTTTTCCCTAATTCCCTAACTTACAACTTAATCTTCGAATGTCTGATCAAGAACAAGAAGGTGAAGGAAACTGGGAACTTTTTCTTGGAGATGATAAAGAACGAACAGCCTCCAACCCCTTCAAATTGTGCATCTGCCATTTCAATGTTTTTTGAACTTGATGATCCTGAAATGGGATTTGAGATTTGGTTTTATATGATGAAAGATGGTGTTTCACCTCTTGAGGATAGTGCTAATGCTTTGCTGATTGGGCTTGCTAGTATGGGTAGGCTGACTGAATTGAGGAGATATGTTGAACAATTTTTTCTTAAAGGAATCAAGATTTATGAGTCTACAATGGGGAAGTTGAAGATTGCTTTCCTTAAGGAGGGAAGAAAGGGAGTTAATGTATATACTGATCTTGATTGGAAATGGAGATCTTCATAGAAGTTTCTTTTGTTTGTTATTACTAGTTGTTTCAAGTCATTTAGGGTTGTTTTTACAAGAATGGAAGAACTTGAATCATAAGTAGGAACTTCTTTCATGGTTAGCTACAAATTTTCTTGATTTATGAAAAGGGATATGCTTTTCTAATGACATCTTTATTAGTTGCTCATATTTTCTTGATTTGGGTTTCCACTTCATGATTGGAATTGGAGATCTTGGTATTACCCAAAGACCCGGTTCTTCTTACCCGAATAGTGGCAATTGTGGGCTACTATTAACTTTAATCATAGTTTTAACTGTGGGAGGATAAGGTTTGTGACAATTTTAAGACACGTTTTCAACAACTACAAAATACTTAGACTACACGGTATGGGCCATTTTTTGCTCGCGTTAGGGCTGAGGTGGCGGCCATAACGCCGTCTTAACACAATGAACACCACCCCCCTTCTCGTTAAGGGGTGTTATGATATATCTAGTTGTAACAAAGACTAGATAAAACACTTATTTTGATTGGCTATTCCTTCATCCACCAATCAAATTTTTTTCTTTTTTCTTCTCTATCCTCTTAACACCGTGTTATAACATGAAAACACCATCCCCACTTCTTGTTATAACATGTTGAAATGTGAGGTGACAATAGTTGACTTCATAACATCGTTGCCCACACCCAATACTTTTAGGCTAAAGGAGTGGTAACACTCCTAGCACCTTGCCACATCACTTTTTTAAATGTCATATCATCTTTTTTTCTTAGCATCTAATTCTAAGCATTTCATAAGGAGTGGTAACACTCCTAGCATTTTATTTATTTATCTTTTTTTATTTTTTTTAATTTCAAAAATATGATTGAAACCTTGAATTTCAAACGGGGCCCTCATTTTCCAAATATCATATCCAACCGATAAACATGGCCTAACATGTGATTTTTTTTCTTTAAGATTTATTGGTTTTTAAAAAAATCCTATATTAAACATCCATCTAAATAAACTAGCATTAAAAAGTGTTGGTGTTGCAAACGAGGCCTTGTGGATGAGAACAACCTTTTTTGGAGAGTCCAGAGGAGCTTGAAAGCAAAATTTGTGCTTTCTTTTTCTTTCTCTTTCGTTTCTTTCTCATAACTTAAAGAATCAAGGCCTGTTTTTTCTCAAATCTTCAGTGGAAAAAAATGAGAAACAACAAGAAATCAAAAAATTAAGGGGGTTGAAAAGCAAAAATAAGAAAAAATTAGAGAAATTAAGAGAGGGATCAGAGGAAGAAGGAGGATTTTTTGCTTTTTCTGGTTGAAGAAGAACGAGAAAGAACCTGAAAAAGAAATGTTTACTCAAACTCAACCACAGAAGCAATCTAGTGAGCAACTTCAAGCTGGTCAAATTTCAGGGAGTTTGAGTTTCAGTGGGTTAATGTCGAAAAAGATGAAGAGTCTAAATCTGCTCTCTCAACTTTTAAGGGGAAAGAGGAAGAAATAGAGAAGAAAAATTGGAGGTTAAAGAAAGAATTCAAGCTCAGTTGGGTCGTATTGAAGAAAAAACCAAAGCATTGAAGAAGAAACCAAATGCTTTGGACCAATCACCTTCTTCCCTTCCTTTCTCTCTCATCTCGCCAAAGCCATAACGACTGGAGCATAGCGACCCCCCTTAGCGAGCGCTAGGGGGCGGTGTTCTTGTCTTAGCCAGTTTAGCGACAGGCCTTGACACCCCCACTCCGTTCGGCCTTAGGCTATGGGGTGTGGTCACTACATGTTCATTAGAAAAGTGATGTCACCTATGCGCCACATCATCTTCACTACATGTTCACTAGCCCTTGGAAATGATCACGCCACATTGTTTATCTTTTTTTTTTTATATTTCATCCGTCCTAAATTAATTGTCCACTTTTGATTTTTTAAGTCTTTTTTCTTCAACTTTGACGTTAAGTATTTTTATTTGTGTTATATATATATTACTTGATGAAATTTATAACAATGAAAAGACATTTAAAATAAAATTCATTCGTATATTTTGCATCAAGTATTATCTATCAAAAAGAAAAATATTTAAAGTCAAAGTTAAAGAATAAAGACTTCAAAAGTCAAATATGGACAATTAATTTGGAACGGAGGTAGTATATATTTAGATTAAATAAAAAACATAATTAATAAATATAAATAAATATTTCACATTACATAAAAACACATTACATAACTTAAATTACTAAAAAAAACATAAAAACATAAAAATTCAAACCTAAATGACTAAAAAAACACAAAACCATAGAAATTTAACCCTAAATGACTTAAAAACCATAGAAAGTTAAACATAAAAATTAAAATGTTAAAAACCTAATTTCCATACTTGTCACGAACTTGTTGTTGGATTTTCATAAAAGTGACTAGATTTTTCAGGTCGATATTCAGTTGCGGCTTTGTATTTAAAATTTGAAGATCGGTAAGTGCTAGTTTCCGACGACGAGCTTCCTCCGTTGCTTCATATATGTCGTTAAACTTGGTGCAAGCCGCTCGTAGTTCACGCCATTTTCCATTGATCGTGTCGTACGTTCGACCCATTTGCCTTCCCAAAAGCGAGTGAAAGTGATCTAAAACATGAAGCCAAAAATTGTTTCTTGTTTGCGCATTGCCCGTCCTTGAATCATACGATATAAAAATCCAAGCTTTAGCTAAAGCTTCCTCCGCATCTTCGTTCCAAGACGTTCCTCCTTTTTCTTTGTAACTTTTCCTTTTGAAATAAGGGGACTTGACCCGTTCGTTTTCGTCATTGTCCAGGTTTATAGGTGGGGATTAAAATAAGGGGACTTGAGATGGTTGTGTTTGGAATTGTTGAGATTGTTGTGTTTGGAATTGTTGAGGTTGAAATTGTTGAAAAGCTTGGAAGTGGGGTTGATTGAATTGTTGTGGTCTTTGTTGTTGGAAGTAGTGTGGTTGATATGGAATGTTTGTAAATAGAGGTTGTTGTTGGATTGGGGATGTTAACATTTGCATGTAACCTTGATATTGATCATTTGGAGTGTTTGGGGTTGTTGGAGGTGGTTAGATTGGTTGGGGTATTTTGATTTTGATCCATACTTTGAGAAAAAAAAATGAGAGAATAGAAAGATATTTGAATAGTTTTGTGGTGTGAAATGGTATAAAATGTTGGTATTTATATGGTTTAGTTTAAAGTTAAAAAGATGATTTTGTTTACATTGTTAATGGGTCAATTTTTGACCGTTTGTGTAAATCGATTTCTTTTGGTCGTAAGAAGGCGTAACCGGTACCAATCCACAGTACATTTACGGGCTGGGGGGGGGGGGGGGGGGGGGGGGTGAACATGTGTGCCACCTCACCCTTTACGCGTCAAAATCATCGCCATGCCCCATGGCCTTATTATACACATTTTCAATTATAAATCCAAAGACATAATATTGAAAAAAGTTAATATTAAATTGAAATTATCATCTACATTCAAATATAAAATCAAAATATAAATAAAGAGAGATTGGACCGAATTTATTCTTTCAAAATTCCTTAGTTGCTTGGTAACTATCGTCTAGGCTAATTTCCGATTGGGGTAACTATCGCCTAGACTCATCGGTAGTTTAGGCCAATTTTTACAACACTTTGATGTTGAGGTTATTAAGATAGTTTATAACTTTCGATTGGGGTGTTACATTTCCAATCATTTCCTATTTTTTGTTGTACATGCGTTTGAGAACCTTGTCATAGTAGAAGCCCATGCTATAATCTTTGTTTGGAGCCTCTTTGTGGAAATGGACACATTAGGTTAGTAGTAGGGGTGATCATATTAACCGAAAAGCCAAACCATAACCAAATTGACCGATATAACCGAACTATTACTAAAAGATATGGAGCGGCTTCTAATTTTGATTAATCGAATACATATGGTTCGATTATGGTTTTCATCTAAAACCGAACCATTATAAACCAAACCGAACCAATAATATTAATAAATGTTTTTATATAATATAATATTACATATATGGTATGTAGTTATATTACGAATTGAAAATTTAAAGGGTAATTATTTGGAATTAGATAGGATAAGTTATCTTCTATCAATACAATTACATATACACAATCATTCACTTTTTATAACAATGGACTTTATGTCTATCAATTTTTATAAAAAAATTATTTTTATGTCATCTTGGACCATTATGGTTAACTAATTTTAACCATTAACCATAACCATTAATCGAATAAAACCATTAATCAAAACAAATATTAACCGTTACCCAATGATTATTGAAATGCATTAACCAATTGTATTGGTTATTGTTCGATTTTAACCAATAACCGAACCACCCCCATACACACCCCTACCTAGTGGAGCCATGAATGACAAAGTTCAAGGGCCAAAGTTATAACTATCACCAATTTACAATTATTTGGTTCACGTGTGAAGAACAATTGGCGCATGAAGGAAACTCTGAAAGGGTGGTGCATTAATTACTTTGTTAACAACGAATTATTTTCAATGTACGCATATTTTCAAAGAGGCTTTTCTTTGGCAGACAATTCATGAAAGTCAAATAATGGCTTTATCACTTTCACATATGTATGAATGTGAATCACAGTTACCACAACACACAACAATACACATATTAGAAAAGAGTGAGGTGGTATTCTGTACAAAGCTTTATTTTTTGCAGCCAAAAACATTAGTGATACCTTACAGTGAGTGTTTAGATTACAAGTGCAATTTAGCTTTTGAATGATTATAATGTCTTTGGTGTTAATAAAATCCACTCTCTCTAGGTCAGACTAGATTGAACCACATTAAATACTGTTTTCCGATTTTATAGTTATTTCGTTGTAGTTTTTCAGTAGCTTTTATTCTGCAAGTTTTACCGAAATCATTTATCGTTTGTTTGAAGTTGCTTAACTTGTTTAGTTGAATTCCCAACAAACTAGTATCAGAGCTATGGTTGAAGATGTGAAACTTAAAATCGAAAAATTTGATCGTCAAGATTCCAGTTTCTGGAAAATGCAAATCGAAGATTATCTC